TTGCATTACTTTTTTGAGGGGAGGTTTTGTTTTGCTCTTTATCCTGATGTGTGCCTTTGGAAAATACCCTAGTACAGGGTATCCAAAAGCAGAAAATTCTGGCACTTTTCCCACTTTGCATTCTTTCTCCTGTGTGGATGCCAGATTCCTTTGGGAAATCATCATTTGCAAAAGGTCAGGAGCAAAAGGAGGGGCATTCTTTAGTGTACAGTTACTGCTAATTAGAAACTAAACATTTGTAACCATGTCAAGAGTTATTTGTATTTGAAAAGAAACATTTATACACAAGAGCCCTTTCGGTAACATAAAACACACTGTAACACGAAGTGTGTGTGTTGGAGGGTTGGGGGACAGACAGATGGGGAAGCTTCTGACAAATGACTGTGCTGAGTGAGGTCATTTGCTAATTAAATCTCAAAGCATTTTCAGAGTATTTTCTTTTCTCTGTCAAGTGAAGTTTTCTCACTAACCACCCGCCCCCCAACCCCTATGGGCCAAAGCAAACTGCGTTTTACTGTGTTCGCCAATTACAGATTAAACATTTAATCATGTTAAAGGAAAAATAAGTGAGAAAATGGGTGAGTTGGCAGAACCTAGTCAAAGACCACTGGGAAATCTCTAAGTACCTACAGTAAACTTGGCCTTCCAGTGTCTTCCCATAATGTGACGTAAGGTGAGCTTTTCTCCATCCTGAAAGCGTGTGCTGATTGACCTATCTCACGGACCTACACTCTTAGGGAAAAAAAATGACACAATGTTTTGACTTACCCTGTACATCTTTCTTCTCTCTCGCTACCCTAATCCCCATGATGAAATTCTGCTTGGATCGTTCCATTTGTACAGAAATTGTATCTGTACTTTTCTTGTCATATTAAAATAAATGTCAGTGATACCTCCGGGATGTTAAAAACATTTCAGTCATAGGGCTTTTTGTCTCTTTACATGCTAAGCCTACATGGCCACATGGGCCTAATGGCCCAGATCTTACCAATAATTCCTTCTTGGAATACTGATTAATTTTAAAAACAAAAAAACAAGAGGCCATCTCTTTCCCCTGCAGAGTCTGCTATCATCTGATCTTCCCCATCCTTGTCTTGGCATCTAAGATGTTTCTATAAGTTGAGTTACTTTTTTAATTGAATGAAAGAGCGTGAAGTCTTGAGAGTTCTAGTCAAGAACTTATTTAAGCTAGAACTTACCATCTTGGGCTTTCCTCTCCAATAATAATATATCTGTGAACGCTCTCAGGGGCACAGTTTCAACAAAATGGTTGTGGACTCTCAGGTTCTGAGTGTTTGCAGAGCAAAGAGGCCCTCAGATGACCTACCTTGCCAACGACCTTTGTGGAATCTGAAAATACCACTTGTCCATGACTTTCACTTATTTAAGAACTGACTTCTATTCAAGCGCTTTGGGTGTGAGTCAGCCCAGAGGCAAGGATTTGGTGACTTGAGGGTCCATCTCCTGTTGTCTTGACAGTAAGTTCAGATCATATAGTCTGCCATTTATGGCATTCCACAGTCTGGCCTGACCCACTTCTCAGCCTTAAGTTCCACTCTTATTCATGAGCCTCTACTTCAACCAGACACATCTGCCTATTCCTTGAGCATTTCTACCATTCCTTTATACTACTGACTCTGGCTGAAACAACTGCCTGGTTTCTTTTGGAGTACTTGAATCATGCTTGCTTCCTGAGTTCATCCTTCTCAATACCACAACCCACAGTCTTATCCTCCTGTAGCCGTAATGTCAAGATCACTTGCTTATCATTTTTCTGGAACTGTCTCGTGCTTTTGGTCGTCTTTTCAAATGTACTTCTCATCTTGCCACCTAGAGTATAGTCTCATCAAAGACAGCAATGACTGTCTTATTTCTCGTGGCACTTATCATGGTGCTTTTGTTCATTATGAGTGCCCAATAAATGTTTGATTGTTGAGGAATAAGCTGTTTTTGCTACCACCTGTTTATTTTCTTATTCCCAAAGCCTATCTGCATTTCTCCCTGTGACAGCATCATAGATATTCATGATGTTTATAAGAAAAGCAAAGTCACCTGTAGAACTAATGCAAATACAAAAAAATCCAACATCATTTGGAATAAGGAGCAACTCCCCCTGCCCCCAGCTTGGAAGTCCCAGCCAAAGCTAGATAGAACATCAGTATATCCAAAGGCATGGATGAAGAAATGAGTATTGAATGGTCTTGTGTTCTTATTTCTTCCCAGATGTGGTGACTCACCTTTCTACCGCTCCCGTGAAATGGCAGCTCGTGCCTTGGTCCCATTTGTTATGATAGATGAAATTCCTGACACCATCCGAACTCTCTTGGCCAAACTCCCCAACTGCACTGACCAGTGTTTCCGGCAAAACCATATTCATGGGACACTTCTTCAGGTAATTAAAGTTAGTCTGTGTGACTTCTGTCAAACACCACAAGATGAACTTTGGTTTCTCATATACTATTTCAGGTGAAAATTTGATACACAAGCTTTTAAACTTTGTAGAACTTTTTTTCTATTGCTGAAGGAACAGGTATGTCCTAGGTGTGCTTTTTTCATCATAATCATGAATACAGTATTACTCTGTGATTCAGTCAGATCATCTTTTGCATTAAATCCTGTGTTTTCTACAGCATGCTTTCCCATTTGGACTTACCTCTCTGAACCAGATAAAGTTTTGTCTTTTTCATCAAATATGCCTGCAGAACATTCTGGGCCACATCCTGTTCAGGGTGAAGTTGTGAGCATTCCTTACAAGAGAGGTTAGCCCAGGAAGCACAGGGAGAGCTATACACATCAGAGAGAGTTTGCCTGCTGCATAACATGGAAATATCAAACCCTACTTCCCTGTTTTCTCTGTACTACAAAAGAGACTTTTTTATTTATTGTTTTTAACTTAAAATTTCTTCTAGAAAAGACTCAAGTACAACAAATGAATGAGAAGTAGACTTCTTAATGAAACTGTCCTTTTTAACCCCTAACTATAAACTTGGGGACAGTTGATGTTGGTGAGAAGATCTGCTGTTCACATGGCTGCTGTGGTCACTCACACTGGGCAGGGCTGGGATGGGATTTAAATATCAGGTCATGTTTCTGATTTGTGAGCAGAGTTGAAAGATGGCCTTGAGATCCCAATATATGTTATAAGCTTGAGGTCTATGCTGCTGACACGGAGGCAGTATGTAGAGTGGTTAACAGCATGAGACTCTGGAGCCAGACTGTCTGGGTTCAACCTCAGATCCACCACTCACTGCCTGTACATCTGTGTCTTCATTTTTTAAATGAGTGTAATAGTACTGTATACCTCATAGGGATTTGGTGAAGATTAAGTGAATTAATGCATATAAAGTGCTTAGAACAGTACCTACTACACAATAAGATATGTAGATATAGATAGAGATTATTACAATAGTTTTAATGAGCCTGTGCTATAATGAAAACTAATATTTTGAGTAACTTATTCCCTCTAGGTGAGAATGCAGGATAGACCTATCTTCTTGCCTTCCTTCCTTGGTTATTTTATATATTCAACAAGTATATATTGAATGCCTCCTACATACTAATGTGTCACAGTCAAAACAGTGACTAAGTCAGTTCTTGCATTAAAGGAGTTGAGGAGGAAAAAAAAAGACTGGAAAATGGGCAATCACAGCATAGTGTGCTAAGTGGTAGGGGAGCACATAGTGGGGCTACCTGACTGGGGAATCAGTGAAAGCTTCCCAGAGAAAGTGACATCTAAGCAGAGAGCAGAAGTCAGCCAAGTGAAGGGAGGGAGAGAGTCTCCCATGCAGACAGAACAACATGGAGAAAGGCTCGCGGGTGGGGTGGGGGTGGGAGAGTGAAGAGTCACCCTGTCTGGGAACTGCAAGTTTGGGGGGGTCTGAAGTTCTAGGTTGGCAGGTCTCAAACTGGTCTCAGGACGTCTTGACCCTCTTAAAAGTTATTGAGCATCCCAAAGAGCTTTTGTTTATCAATATTTAATTAGAAACTAAAACAAAATCTTAAAACACAAGAACTCACAAGCACACATTCCATTAGTCATTAGAGTGATGACATCATCACACACCTTGTAGCCTCTGGCCAACTCCACTGTACACTTGTGAGAAAATGAGAATAAAAGAGGAAAGTAATGTCTGAGTATCAAACTATTTGAAAATAGTTTAATCTTGCAGCCTTCCTGAAAAGATTGTGTGAGCCCCAAGGGTCCCAGATCCTCTGGTCTGTGTTATATACATTATGGATCTTTGGTAGTTTCTTTAGTAGAAACTCTTAAGCACTCATCTCCCTTGGTCCTTACTATATCCCTGTGGTGAAGAGAGGGGCAGGGGTTATTATCTTTGTTTCAAACATGGGACCCTGAGGCCCAGACAGGTTAGATCTCTTGATTCTTGTCAGAGGCTGCTGCTGCTTTGAAGGGAAGGGGCTGGCAATAATGAGTCATGCTGAACGGGCTTTTCCAAGATTCACAGATTATGCAGCTGAGTTAGAAGGAAGGCTCAGATTGTCAAGGGGGTTCAGCCATCAGATTTTCTTTATTGAAGATCCACTCTTGGCTGAACTTTGTCAGAAGTGAGTTGGATTTGCTTCTTTGGCTCTTTCACCAGTTGTACAAATGGGCCTCCCAGCCTAGTTTCCCACACACACCACTAACAAGTCTGGCTTGTGTTTTACCAGTGTGCCCAGCAACAAAACAGGGTCTGTTGTTCTGTCTCTGTTATTCTCAAATTTACGTTTTTATGCTACATAAAATGTGAAACACTCTGAGAAGGTTAAAAACTCGCTGTAACTCTGGGCTGGCTGTGGCTGCTGCTCTTATTCCTGAGTGCTGGCGAGATGAAGGGCTTGCTGGAAAAGAAATAACAGTATGAGTGTTGGGTGTTGTGTTCATGTTTGTCAGATAGATTCCTGCCTTTCTCAAGACTGGTTTATACCCTGGTGAAAAAAAGGAAGTCAAAGGCATGTGAAAATCTTTTTGTCGTGTCCATTCGGGTGTCTCGTCTGTGTTGTAATAGTTCTGTTTCACCCTGTTGTTCTTTATGGGGAAAGCACCAGGAGTTAAGATGGGGAGGGCTCTTTTTCTCTTTCCTTTCTACAGCTTGTAGATTCCTTCTCCACATAAAGCTACCTTTGAAATCAGTAAAAGGCCTGCACCTGGAAAAGAGATGTTAGGGATTGAAAGGAATAATAATCTCCATGGGACTTTCAGAGCCAGCTAAGTAAATATAAAATTGTTATTTTTTCAAAAGCAGGAAATCATTTTGTAATCAGAAAACAAATTCTTTCACAGAACATTTTCTTGAATTATACATTTCAACTTCTTTGAAAAATGTTTACATAAATATATCAAACCTCAGAGTATTGCTGTAGTATACCTTGAAAATGAGAAATATGCTGATCTCTGAATTATCTGGGGCTATGGAAGAAGGACTCAAATTATAGGACATGCAAAAAAAGAAAGAACATGTGGGATTCGTTTCTTAATCATTTTAAAAACCAGAGGTTCATAATTGCAATGTTGAAATAGATGGAAGTAATGCAATCAGAAAAGGTGAGATTATGCAGCAGGTTCACGAGAGCCAGTGGTAAATGACATTAAGTTTCAATAAAGGCTAGATAAGAGCCATGGACATTACCTCATTTGGGAACAACACTGGCAGGGCTACCCTGTCTTTTAAGTAGAATTAACCATCTGTTTTTGTTGCCAAAATTCTTCATGTTGAGGACTTAACATTATTACTAGGTTACTTATCACTCCTGAGAAATCATATTGGAGTTCAGAAAGTTCTCTTGTATTGAGGAAGAGTTTGGCCAACAATCATGATTTATTCTTATTCATGGGTACTTAACTCACCTTTTGGTGATTCATAAGGAAATATATACCATTTGAAGTAAAAATTTGAATTTTCAGTTGTTTCATTTTCTGTCTATTTTGGTTATTTTTCTGATGGTATGAACATTGAAAAGGTGATCCGTGCTTTCTTTGATTAAGCTCTTCTATATGGGTAAAGTGAAGTGGGCGGTTGAGGTAATTTAGCTTCTGTTAAAGCAGAAAAACCACTTTTGCATTTATCTGAACATTTTAGGCAAAAGTATTCTCTTTTTTTTCCTTTCAGTCAATTCAAATAATTACTACAGTTCTGCACATCCCTTTGCTGGTATTAAATTTTCTCAGTTTTTACCAGAAGAATCTGTTGAACACTTTAATTCTTTTATTCCACCTTCACCCCCCGCCCACCACCCAAATTTGGAGCCTTGATTTGTGCACTTTGAGAAATCTTAGTCAAAAAGATTCCACTTTTCTGGCTGTGGAGCTGAGTAGCAGTGCTGCATACTTCGGTTGACATGAAATATTAGCCAGGGATAGACTTTAGACAGCCTAAGCCCACACATTTGGAAAGTTGCCATAGAGAAGTAAAATGAACATTTTGAGCACCTCCTGCGTCCCCTGTGAATTGCATATGTGATTTCATTACTGCTCTCAGCAACCCTGCAAGGTAGGTGTTATTCTCCCCACCCCTCCCCCTGTCTCAGTCTCTGTCTCTAATGAGGAAATTGAGGTGAGCCTGAGAGAGTGCCTTGTGTAAAGTCACAGAGGTAGTCAGGGGTAGAGATAAGATATTCAACTCTAAAGCCTGTACTGTCTTTCTCTTTCGAACGTGCTGCCTCTCTGATAGTTGATGTGAATAACAACTTTTTGTGCCTGGGGAAACCAAACCAAGAATCCTTCTTCATTCAGTTTGTAATCCCTTGTCACTCAGTTGGTCTCCTTAAATCTAATTTGATATGAGACTACAACATTGGAAACAAAGTTAAGTCTGTCAGTATTATAAGGAGGGACAGAGGAAGTCCACACTTTCTGTCGTCCTTCAGGGCGTGACAAAACCTCTCAAACATGGGCAGCCATAGGAATTGTAGATCCTAGGCCTGGGAGCTGATGGGACCGTGAAAAAGTGGTCAAGATTAAATTCAATTCAGTGGACACTGTGGTATGCTTGCCCGGTTCTAGGCATGGGTGAAAACACGAGTTTGCATTTTAGGCTCTTACCTCCCAGTGTTGGGAGCTGTGAGTTACAAACCGGGTGAGCCATGTAAACCCTCAGGGACTAGGGAGCGTATGAATAACAGAAATGAAGACGAGGCAGAAGATAAAACAGCCAAACAGGGCATCAAGCCTGAAGGAGACTGAAACGAAGGCCATGTCTGCTGTAGTCTGTAACAGCCTGATGTAGTCCATGTTAGGGCTAGAGTTAGGGTCTTTATGGGAGTGGAAACATGGTGCTAGGCTGAGAGGGACAGTATGAGGACAAAAGTAGAGGCAGATCTTGGTATTACCTGTGTGGAAAAGAAAAGCAGAAAACCAGGAAAGAAAGAAAAGTAGGCCAATTCAGCCAGCTAGTTGTCTGAAGGAATCCCTTTTCAAGAAACAGGGACAAGACCAACCATCCTTTACTCTCTGAGAGAAGCAGTGGAAGCAAATAGAAAACCAGTGGTAGAGGTAGCCTTAAGTATAAATTCTATTGGAGTTTTCTAAATAAGGAAATGTTTTTAGAAAAAATATATTTTTACTAATATTGTTGCACCAAAACATATAATTAAATATAATTTAAAAGAATGATCAATTCCATCTTTTAAAACCGTGGCCAGGGCCGGCCCGGTGGCGCAAGCGGTTAAGTGCGTGCACTCTGCTGTGGCGGCCCGGAGTTTGCCGGTTTGGATCCCGGGCGTGCACCGACGCACCGCTTGGCAAGGCATGCTGTGGCGGCGTCCCATATAACGTAGAGGAAGATGGGCATGGATGTTAGCCCAGGGCCAGTCTTCCTCAGCAAAAAAAAGAGGAGGATTGGCAGATGTTAGCTCAGGGCCGATCTTCCTCACACACACACACACAAAAAAACTGTGACCGTATAATACAGCACCTTATGCCTGAAGAATTTCAGTTTCTTTTTCATATTTCTTAAAAGTAGAAAATTGTGGAACATAAAGTAGAATACTCAAGCTGTGCAGAGATGGAACATTACTTGATAAATTTCATTTGGTGACCTAAGGTTGGCCTATCTCCATTGTTGTTTATTTCATACACAGAAAATATAATTTCAGAATGGAAAATTGAAAACAAAAGCATGAAATTATGCTGATGTTGTAAGTTATAAATGGATTGCTGGTCAGTGTGCTTTTTTTCTGGAGTGAGTCATAACGAAAATGCTCGCTGTTGTCGCTAGTGGCCAGATTCACTCTTCCTTTCTGAGAACTTATGTTTGTATGAAAGGAGAAAAATCTAAGTTGTTAGGAAGGTTCCCAGTCCAAGAAGGACTAAGGCAGAGCTTCTCCAGTGGCGTGGCTGTAGTTGTGCCAAGTATTTATTGATTCCTTCAGCTCTGGGGGAGTCTGAGCAGGACCTAGGGGGGCAGGAGGCTCCAGGCAGTCACCTGCAGCTGGGAGCAGCAGCATCTGTTTATCCCAGAGTGCCAAAGAAAGATTATTTTCTATGTGTGCCTTGACGTGAAAAGGATTGGGAAGCACTGGGCTCTTAAAATTAAAGAAAGAACTAAACCTTGTTAAATCTTACCTTTTGGCAATATATTCTTTCTGGATATAAGCCCAGAAAAGTCATTTTTAATTAAAATGCTACTTTTGAAGATGAATTAATCCCTTCCTTATAAATATCGAAAGGCTTTTTCTTTGGTGTGTGTTACTTAGGGAGTGTTTGCTGGGTGTAGGAGACAGTTTTTAGCTGCCAGGTTTGGAGCATTGACTGTAGTGCACTGTCACTGTCACTAGCCATTGTGCTACTGCTGTTTTGAAATGCTCTGAACTCATAGTATCAGTCAGGGGAATGTAGAATTTAGAGATTTGTCATTTGATGTGTCCCCAGGCTTTTGTTACTGTTCGGGGTTAGAGTAGGGAAAGTAAAGATGAAAAGAATATACACACATATGAACACATACATGCATATACACACATACGTACATATACACATACATATACACAGATACACATTTACACACACCAGTTATTGATTGTATGTACGTGTGTTTATGTGTATGTGTGTATATATATAGGTGTGTGTGTGTGTCTGTGTATTAAGTGCCCATGGAGGCTCTTCTGGATGATGGATATTATTCCCATTGTACTAATGGGAAAACTGAGGGTAGGAGGGGTTATGAGATTTGACTAAAGTTATACAAGGGTAAATGGTCAAAAGTGGAACTGGGATTCAAAGCTTTCAAGCTTATACACTTAACCACTATACCATAGTACTTCTCTGGATGAGGGAAAGAACATTTTCAGGCAAGAGTGACTCTCTCTGGGTCCTTCAAGGTGTGGGATAGAATGGAAGTTGGTGTCGTCTATTTATTCTTTCATTTGACGGCTGTTGATTGAGCACCAGCTAGTACATGCCAAGCAGTGTTTTAGGTGTCAGGAATACATCAGAGAACAAAAGAGACAGACCCTTGCTCTCAAAGATCACTGCTCTCACAGAGCTTACATTCTAGAAGCAGAGAGACAGACAATAGTAAATGCTGTTATAATAAAATTTATTCTAATATATTCTAATAAGTATAATGAATAAGTAAACTATATTGTTTATAGAAGGTAATAATTGCTGTGGACAATATGAACAAGTAGAGTAGGATAAGGGGAATCAGGAATTGGTAAGAGAGGAGGGCAGATGGTAGGATTAAATGAGATGTCAGAATAGTCATTTGAAAAGATAACGTTTGAGCAAATCTCACCAAAGGACAAGGGAAAACTTTTTTTTTGGATTAAAGAGTAAACATCTTTTCTCTTGAAATTGGCTTGCTTACACATGTCTCTATATTTGAGACTGCCTTTAACCATAGAGAAGTGCCAACAGACTAGACAGTAGTGGATAAACAAGGCCAGGAAGGATGCCATTACTTTAGAAACTTCAATGCTCTGTACAGCCCCCATGCTGTACGTGCAGATCACTGGGGACTACAGGAAGTCCTTTCCCTAAGAGTCACAGTGAGTCAAGTCAGTCTGTCGTGCTTCCCTTGAGCTTAGCAAAGAGGAAAGCATCCATCCCATCACTTCCTCTGCTTTCCGGGGTGGTCTTTACCTTAACTGTCTGTACCTGAGCCTTAGAGATATGGAGTAAATGTGGAGAATGCTTATTTATTCTTTTATTTAGCAAATAGTTACTGAGTGATTATTAAGTGCATAATACCACGCCAGGTGCCATGGAGAATACAAAGAAAGGTTAATATATAACATATTCTCTGCCCTCAAGAGGCTTATGAGCTACCATGGAAAACAAGCCATCCACACCGCAAACAATTACACAGACATACATGGCTGTGGTGTGTGCCAGGCAAGTGGCCAAGAACACATATTTGAGAGGAGAGCTCAGAAAAGGCTTTGTGGGGACAGTGGGTCTTGGGAGAAACCTTTAAACTAGTTTTCTGTTGTCAAGAAAGGGACTTGATGTGAGCCAAGGCACGGAGGAGGGCATGCAGAAGGTGGTTGCAGGGTCAATGGCTAAGCCAGCCTGTCAGGTACAGGAGTGTGTCGGGGATGGGATGTGGAATTGGCTAAGTGGGCGCCGGTCAGCATGAGAGAGACCACAAATTAATTACCACCACTGATGTAAATGGTGAGCAAAAGATTTTGAGCTAAAGAAAGCTGTGTTTTAGAAAAATTAATGTTGTACATTGAAATAATACTATTAAAAATGTCAGGATTCCTATTGATGTGTGCGTGTGTGCATAAGAGAGAAGTCATTTTTCAGCAATTTTGACTATATGTGTTAGCGTGCTTCACAAAGAAGTCCCTCTGGTCAGTCAGTGTTCTCTGCCTCCCTGTATATCATATTAAAGATTATAAGAGCTGAGATTAGTTCTGACTTTTTAAGGTTGAGTTCCTGCCTATCAGGTTGTTATTCCTTGCACCTGTTTTGTTTTGAATTACACCGCCTCCCTCAGACCCCATCAGAAACCTGATGAATCACGAAAGGAACACTGTCACACTGTCCCAGACAAAGGAGTCTTTTACCATTCAAAGGGGGAAATTTGAAGTTCATAAAGTGAAAGGGAGATATAGGATCCTCCTAGATAGAATAATCTAGCACTTTTCTGAGTTCATTTTTCTTCTTGGAAGACACACTTTCCATCCCCTCCCAGCCTTATTGTTTGAGACTTTTTATGACTGAAGATAATTCTGAAGGTACTTTAAAAACACAACAAAACAAAACATCACACTGTGGGCACGCTAGGATGCTTCTGTCGTTTTCCAGAATTCCTGTAAAATATCTGATGATGTGTGGTTCCATTTTGTGATGTGGTTTGTTTGGTGGGTCTCAGTCCCATGAAAATAGTGTTATTTGTTGTTTGTTTTTAGCTATGCCAATCTAATAGGCAAAAAGTAATACCTCATTGTTTTTGTTGGGGAAGCATTTTTGAGATTGCAGAGCATATGTACTTGTTGCATAGCCCTTGGATTTATTTAGAGCACCCAACATATTTCAGTAACTAAGGACTCGGTTGGCTGTTTAAAAGCACTGGGGTTGAGTAAAGCCAGATAATTTGGCAGACACCCCAGAGGCCTGAAGTAAAATCAGTCCAGGGGCCTAAAGGAAAGTTTAAATAAGTAATAAAACTCTTTCTATTTTTAAACCATATTATTGTTCATGACATTCTTATATTTCTCTGTACTGTGTATTTCGATCCCCTACCGACCTGTCCTTCCGTGGCAGGGTTTCTCAGCCTCGGTCCTATTGACATTTTGGGGCTGGTAGTTCTTTGTTGTGGGGACTGTACTGTGCATTGTAATATATTTGGTAGCATCTTCCCAACAGATACCTGAAGTACCCACCCTCCCAGTTGTGACAACAAACCAGACATTTCCACATGTCCCCTGAGACAGAATCACCCCTGGTTGAGAACCTTTGTTCCATGGTACCTATGGATTCTGTCCATGATCCATTGTGGACAGGGCGAACTCCAGCTCTTTTAAATACTGATGGCCATGAAAGAAACCATTCCTGACCCACGAACAGATGGCGGCCCAACAGACTACGATGAGCTGTGCATAGGAATAAGAGAATAGGAGGGGCAATACAAAATTCAGGCCGGACATCTCAAAGGAAGCACCTTTCTCCCTCCCTCCCTCCCTCTCTCTCTAGTGGAAAACTGCTGTGAACATGTGAGCCAGCTGGCTTTCAAAATCCTAGCTTTTTATGGTTTGCTTCATATCCCTGTCCCAACCTGCCTCTGATCCACT